GCTCTGGAAAATAGAACACTAGAAACAATGGGATGCTGGCTGAGGAGGGCTGGCTGAGTTAGAAGGCGTGGGAGCTGACCTTGTCACAGCCTCTAGGGTTTTACTAGTGGTTGATGGATGAAGTGCCTCCCAAGCTCCGCATCCCTACGTGCCCCCCTTGCACCCCGCCGCCAGCCGGGAGCGGGAACGCAGACAGCACCTCCCGGGGCCACAGGGGGGCGGGAGCCGGGGCCGGGCTCCCGGAGGGTTTCTGACAGTCTGGCACCATCTGCTGGGGTTTCCTGGGAAATAAAGGGGGGTTTGGGGAGGTGACTGTGCCCCGGGGCAGGAGCCCGGCGACTGGGAACAGCGGGCAGCAGCGGCTCCCAAGGGCTGGTCTCCATGCTGGCTCTGCCAGGGAAGGAGAGATCACCCTCTTCTCCTTCTGGTCACTGCTTTTCTGTCAATGTGTCCTTGGTAGCACCGAACAGTGGCAAAGGTGACTGCTGCCCCATCTTTACAGTCCCAGGGCCAGCTTCAAGCTCTGGTCAACCTGGTGGTGATCCATTACTGATTAGCCTGGTTTGGCCCAGGGGGTGGGGCCCAGCCACACGCAGCCCCATTGCTTTGAGGGAGGGTGTATGCCTCTTCTTGGGCATGGCAAGATTTCAGCTTGGCTGCCCTTTTCTGGTTTTGTCCACAGCTCCTGAATGAAGCTCTGACTTGTGCTGGCCCCTGCTTTATGCAAGCAATAGGCAAGAGACGTCCCAGATTCATGTGTGCTTGTCCTTGTTAGGGGCTTCAGCAGAGGAGGAAGGGAAGGAGATGGAGAAAGACAGAAATCTGCCTCCAGCAAGACAGTCTGCACAAATGGACTGGCTTATAAATGAATTTATAAGTTGAAGTTGGCCTGTAATGAGAGAGTCACTGAGAAAAAAGGATTGTGCACTGCAAACCACTTAAGGATCTGAGATCTCGGTGCATTACGCAGAGCCAGAGGGGAAATTCTGGGTTCTGTGAGCAAAGGCATCACAGATTCCTGTGCGTGGTGGCGGTCAAGCTAAGGCCAGTGATGTTGCCTACCCCGCAGTCCTTCACTGGCCCAAGGTGCCTTCTCCTTCTCTGATAAAATTGCAAGACCATTGAGCTCTTGAAATTGCCACTAAACGCCATCATTAAGAACAGTTTTATTTCAAGGCAGCTTTTACCAGTAGTGGTTCTAGAGTTAGTTCTAAGGAGAAATATGGTAGTTTTGAGGTTTTGACTTCTAAAAATAAAGCAGTCTCCCAAGCCCACTCCTGTGGTTGGGCTTTATCCTTACAGGCTTCTGTCAACAGCTTGCTTAATGAATGAAGATGTGAAGGGAGAAAAGCTTTTCAATGAGGAGGCTGTGTACTTCCCTGGCCTGGAATGGTAAACAAGACGTAAGCAGTGATTGAAAATATGCTATCCTTCTCTTGGTACTCCCTCACACATGCAGAATCTATTTCCCTTTTGAGTTCCTTGAAACCACTGGAGAAGTTGTTCTTCCATGCATGTAACCTGTAGGTTATCTGTTTGGGAAGCACATAAAGGTTCCGGCTTGTCTGAGTTATGTACGGCTGGTAGATGTGGGGAAAATTCAGCCTATGATCTTCCTTCTCCTAACAGTAATCCAACTCCCAAAGCTGTTTCCCCTGATTTCATTCTCCCCCAGTAGCAAACCTGCACCCTGCTGCTACCTGTCTGATGTGCAGGGAATAAGCATTTCTCTCTTTTGAGTCTGAAATGTTGTCAAGTACGATCCCCAGCTGTGAACACGAGGTGTTCACATGGTAAATCCACTCTGTGCATGAAGGAAAGCCACATTTCACTTGAAAAGCTCAGCAAACCTCACCCTTTCCTAGCCTGGCATGCTACCAGCACAACTGGTGGCCTGTTCTCCTTGCCAGTGCAGAGCTGCTTCTCCTTGCAGGGCTGCTGCCTCTGGGAAACTGCTGCCTTTCCCACAGTCTGACCCGGTGTTTCTCTTCCTGCATTGGGAGCGTATTAGTATATTTTCTCTTCTTACTGTCACATGTGGCTATAAATTATGCTCTCAAATGATTGGCCAGGGAGCTTCCAGAGATTACTAATAGAGAGAGAAAGCCAGCATATATGTAAAGAAAATCACCCTCAATATTTAGCTGGCATTGCTCAAAGCTGAAAGGCTTTCTCTGCAACAGGGAAGAAAAGTCTTAGGCAACGGGAAGGAAAACCACACCAGGAGTAAGAGCCAGGACGTACAGCAGCCTGTGAGGACCCAGCACAACTCCTGGGTGCAAGAGGCACCGAGAGCTCTCACTTCCCAGCACCCCAGACCTCACTGGCACTGCTCTTGTTCCTCCACAGCGCCAGGCTCACAGGGCAGCAGCAAAGCTCCTGATACTGGGTCTGCTGGGAAATGGGTCTGCTGGGGCCCATTTAGCCAGGGGGTACAGTGTACAGAGATCAGCTTTCTGGAGTCATTTGTAAATGAGTTCTCCCATCAGAATAGGTTCTGCAACTCATGTAGGATAAAAGGGAACCTGGACAATGTTAGAGTGCATTGACCCAAAAATGCACATCAAAGAGGATGCATTTGGTACCAGCCAGAAACCCAGTAGAAATGTCTTTGTGGACACAAAGCTCCTGTGGATAGATGTGAACAAGCAGGTATCTCTGGCTATTACCTCTCCTTGGAATATCTGAGATAACACTGAGGTATGTGTTTTCCTTTTTCCTAGAAGAGCAGCACATCTGTGTTTTCTGTTGAGGTCAATTAGAGATATGGGAGACTAGAGGCTGATGAAAAATTAGTGCCTTGCTATTGTCTTCCCTCCTGAAGCAGTGATTCTTTGATTTCTGGTTTATAGTAAAGCACTTAGTTCAGAGTCACATGAGGAGCTCTTTTCTTTTCCCCCAGGGCAAGGAGGCAACTGCCTTCCTGAAGGAAGAGTAAAAGATGGCAGCTGGTTTAGTTGGCTTTGTTTCTTCCACCACCACCATTCCCCATCCATAGGGATGCAGCAGCGTGCCCTAGAGGGCATTATTCTGTAGTTGCTGGGGCTTGCTTGCCCCACAGGTGCTTGCTTCTTGCCTCCTGGTCTCTTAGCATCTGCAGATGGAACCTGAGACCCACAGCCTCGCAAGGACACACTGGTACAGGAAGCACTGGTCCTGCACTGGTATTTCCACAGGGTTTTCTGTACAGGAGCTAATGCGCAGGCTTGTTTCAGCAGCTTGTTAAATGGCTTGACCCCAGGAGTGCTGCTGTGTCTCTCCTGGCTATTCTTACAAAGGTTGCCTGCCTCTCTGCAATGCTTGTCAGCGCTGAGGTAGGGGAGGAGGCAGGGAGGGATGGAGCTGCCTCACTGCTGATGTGACTCTGCCCTCTGGGGTACAGCTGCACGGCTCTGAGCCACCTCCTGCTCTGGGGTGCAGCAGCACCTGGAAGAACACAGACGGCCTCCTCCCCACAAACACTAAGCTCCAAGCAATGCAGCTTTATGTTGCATCCTCCCGCTCCCTGTGCTGAGGCTGAGTTATGTTTGTCACTGAGGGAGAGCCAGCCAGCTGTTTGCTGTACAACAGCTCCTGGCTGCCATCCCAAAGTGTTTTGCTGCTTTCTGTCATCTCCCAACAGACAGACAAGTGAGATTATTTGGCAGAAGAGGTTTTTCCCAGCACTGGCCTCTCTGGTGGCAGCCTTAGAAAGGGGTCATCTGTCTGGCAGTGAAAGAAAGGCATCACCTTCCTTAGAACTGATACATCCAACAGTGCAGTCCCTTGGCTGGCATCAGTCTCCAGAATTCCACCAAAACAGGAGAGGCCCCTGGGCTCATGCCAAGTTGGGAGCTGCCACCTTTCTCCTCAAGGATGTATGGGATGTGTGCTGAGGGTCTGTCATGGTGATACAGAGGGCTTGTTGCTCTGCCTTATCCAGATGGGCAGAAGGTCTCCTGCAGGCAGTGGGGAGTCCTTGGCAACCAGGGGCAGGTGGGACCCAGGACTTATGGTGTACTGCGGAGAGGCAGGTCCCCTGCTGGCATGCAAGAAAGCAAGTCATTTGGAGGTTGTTCAGACCTTGGCAGAAAAAGGGTTTCTGACATGCTAGAGTCAATGGTGGAGGGACTGAACACTCACAAAGCATTCCTGAGAAGTTCCTCTGCTGGGTGCTGTGGAAGGAAAAAGTTTGGAGGATGGATATGAAGTCTAAAGCCATGTATGGAAAGGTGGAACTGCAGCAGCTACAGTTAAAACCAAGAGACTTCTAGAAGCGTATGTGTGTGGTTTGGGAGTATTTTAGGCAGAATTTGTCCAATCTCTCTTCAAGTTTAGTGACTGTGCCATCTTCAGGCACAGGGGGAGAGCAGAGCCTTTCAGCAGGGACCGTGCTCCTCTGTGCTGGCCCCTTGAAGCATGCCTGCACCCCTCTCCTGGGAGAAAGGGGCGCCTGCAAGTCAAGAAGAAGCTGACTATATCTGTGAGCCATTGGTGGTGTACAGCGGGGTCTGGCTGCACCTCCTGCTGCTGAATGGGATGCCAGTAGGAAACTTAGCCAATGATTCCGCTTATGGGCTGGCTTGTGTTTCCTCCACACCATGGAATGGGGGGCTGCCAGGGCTCCGGGGCTTGGCACCTCCATCCCAATAAAGGATGATACCAACCTTTGACAAGCTGATCCAAACAGCCACAGGTTGCATAGGTTTTAACACATGTTTTTAATGCCTCACAAAGCCTCCCCTTCACCACGCTCTAGCCCACCTGCCTGACAGGCTTCCCTTCTACAGAGGATCCACAGAGATCCACCTCATGTTCGCTCAAGGAACCAAAGCGTGTGAATAGAAGCATCAGAGTAGTTCTTTTTTTTTGTTCTCATATGCAAATGAAAAGAAGCAACACTATTAGTAGCTGGCAGCCTCTCTGCATCTAGCTGATGCATGAGACGATGCTGGAGGTTGGATACCTGCTTGGCCCTGCTGCAGTCTGCTCCACTGCAGCCTGCTCCACTGCAGCCTTTCCCTTCCACCACTGCTCCACAGCTAGCATCCAGAAATGGCCATAAAAATAGATAAAGATGTGTTGTTTCTGTGCCTGGGGCAAGAGGCAGGGCCATCTCCAGGGAGCACATGGCACAGTCTGTCACATGTTGCTGTCTTCTTGTGCTGTGCTAGCCACGTGTCAGCCTGGTTTCCCCCTGAATGACAGCAGAAATCCAGAGGAGCATTCCACGTGCTGGCAGGGGCTTTCCAGGGCTTTTTGAGTACAGTTTAAGGGCTGCTGCTGACTGTCAGGGAGTCTCTTACTCTCTGAAGATGCTGCTTGGGAGGTCCAGACTGGATATTAGAAAGCATTTCCTTACTGAAAGGGGGGTCAGATTCTTCGACTTCTTGACGAGGTGGTTGTTGCCCCATCTCTATCAGTGTTTAAGAGGCCTGCTTGCTTGCTGGCCATCTTACATAGCATCCGCCCCTCTCCATGGCCTAATCCCTGAGCTGGACCTGGTGCAGAAGCAGAACTGTGATGAGGTAAATCATGTGTGTGATCCTCTTTTTAAAGACTGTGTCCAGATGTTGGAGAATGTAGAGCTGGGGAGAGTGTGGGGCTTGCCTTGTCTGCCAAACCACAGCAGGGACCATTCCCCTGGGAAATAGAGCTGGATGGTGGAAAAGGGACATTTGCCGGGGGGGGGAGCATTACACTGTGGTAGACCTAGAGCATGAAAAGTTTGAGCAAGGGATGGATGAAGTTAAAGGACAGCAGGGCTGCTGGCAGTGCTTTTGGCTTGGTGGTGGCTGGAGCTTGTCCCCTCTCGGTTTCATTGACAGGCTCTGTACTTGCCAAATTCTTGCTGTGGCTGCCTGGAAAGATGCCTTGCCCACTCCAGCAGGTCTGGCGGGGGGAGAACAATGCTCAAGGGAGAGAAAGAAAGCTTTAGCAGGTGAAGTGAGTCTGCTCTAAAAAAAAGGTATTATTTGAATACTACACAACAAGTATCAACAGAGTGAGGGTGAGAAAGTTTTCTTACATTTGTCACTCAATATATAATAAATATTTATCACTGCCTCTCTGCTTAAGCAAATCATGGGATGCTCTAAGCAGGGAAGTCAGAATGCAGGTGAATTCCCTCCTTGGGCTAGATGGGTTGCTTGTTCAGCCCTAGGTACTTCTCATCTTTCTTGTGTTGCTGTTTCTTCCCCAACTTTTCTCTTTTGGAGGAGACCAGAATTAAGGGTTGGGCTTATCACAGCCTGCCTTTGGGAATGGTAGATTCATAGGGAGAAGATTCTTTATGCTATACAAGGTTATCATATCTAACTAGCAAAATAAGAAGCTTTAGTTCTTCCCATCTCTGGTAAGGGTAAGGTCTAGGAGAGCTGACAGCTTGGGGGGAGAAAGGTGTGAAGAGGAAGAGATGGTTTCCAGAGGGAGGAGTGGCTTTGAGCTTGTTCTTAAACCCTAACGTACTCAGAATTTCACAAAATAAGAGAGTGTTCATGCTGTGTTGTCAGGGATGAGGTTTGGAGGATCTCATAGTGCTGCTCCCAGGGGAGGAAGGTTGAAGAGAAGGACAAAGAGAAGGTGCTTTCTTTGTCCTTGTCTTCTGATGAGCCCCAGCAGTGAAGGAAGGCTTTCTTGCAACAATCCTGATCCATGGGGACCAGGACTAAGATACAATGCTCTGCAACTCATTTACCACACCCCACCAAACAGCCTTTCCTTGGTAGTTATTTTCACTCACAGCAGTTTTGTATTTGGAGAATTAATTGCTTTAATAAGGAGCTTAATTAGAAGTGCAAAAGTACAATAAACAGCAGAAATGTTGGATAAGCACTGAAGACCATTACCTTGAAGAGAGATGCTGCCCTGCTGCTCTCCTGGTAGGAAGGGGTATTAGGGTATTGCTATATCCTGCAGCGAGATTTCATACCTCACTGCTGCTTCTCCTAACCTGGCCAAGTGCAGTGGTGGGTACAGCGGGTCTGTGCCAAGTGGAGCTCTGGTGACATGCTCTGTTTGAAAACACTATGCTTTTGCACCCCCTGTGGCCAAACAGCATTGCCAGGGAGCTCTGGATCGCAGGAGCTTTCCTGACAGGCCTCCATGTGCAGGCCCAAATTCTGTAATCTCCTGGGATGTCAGGATACCAGAACAAAGCAGGGTCTGCAGCCCTCCCCATTCTAGACTGTGGTGCAAGGAGATGCATTGGGGTGATGCACCTTTGTCACCCCTCACCTCCAGGCTGACTTTACAGCCTGGTCATTCCTGCAGTGAAGATGAACATTTCTGACTCCAGCTGAGTTAAAGAGCTTCAAGAATGAACAAACTCTAAGGCAGAAATAGGCTATTTCCCTTCCATCCCCTGAAGCAGCTATCAGCAAGCAAAAAACTCCTCAATTTTCAAGGCAACTGAATCCATTTGCAAATACATGCCAAGTTAAACAAATAGTTTGGGCTTAAATAATGGGCAAGGGTTGGCTTTTTTCAATCTAAATGTTTTATTCCCACAGTTTCTAAACAAAACATTTCACTTTTTCATTTTAAAATAATGTTCTGTTTTGAAATATGATTAAAAAAACCCAGGCAAAACAAAGGGCCTGAAAATGAAGTAGATGGCACTGAATTTTTGTGTCAAATGCCAGGATTTAGCCAACCCCCAGTGTTTATTTTTTTCCACGGTAGGTGTCAGCAAGCAAACTGGAAAATCTGCATTTCTGGACAACATGATATTATTCTTTTTTTTCATCCCTAACAATGAGCTCAGGAATCAATTTTTACAGGACCATTTTCTGAGCAATCTCGTCGCTGCAGTCAAAATGATCTCTCTACTCTTATTTGTACCCAAACCAAACAGGTAAAGAAGATTCCTGAAGCAGAGGTGCAATTTCTTTCTGTGTCAGCCAAGCTCTCTCATCTAAATAAGAGGGATCTTTTTCTACCCCATCCCCCCAGGGCAGCTCACATTGAAGGTGGTGGGGGTCACAAGACTGGTGCCATCACATAGCACCTGAACTTCACAGGACCCCTATTGATTAATTAAGCCTTGCAATGATGCCTTGAGGTGCACGTAGCATACACAGTGAGTGCTTTTCCTGCTGCTAAAATCCTCATCTGTCAATCTGCAGTCTTTTCTCTATTCTTTTTTTTCTCTCGGCCTCCCTCGGTACTCAGGCTTTTACAGCCATTGCTGCGTGGCTCCTTTCTGCCTCTGTGGGCGAATAGGCTGATGACATATCTATGACATGTAGTCAGACAAACCACACTGGTGTGAATTATTTGGTCCCTAAGTATTGCTTGATTAACTCGGTTGTCTGGCACCATGGGGTTGTCTCACCAGCAGACGACAGAGGGAGCTGATGATGCAAGTAACTCTCAAGCCTGGGGCAGCGCCTGCAGAAAAGTCTCTGATGAAACCCACCCACCAGTGAGCTGATGTGCAGTGAGCTCTTTGGTCCACTGGTTAACACGCCCCAGCCCAAGAAGTATCAAGGCTTTGCTTGGACAGCCTCTGGGTTTAATTGTAGCACGCAGACTCTTCCAGTAGGACATCAGCCAATACCACAATTCACTAGCTCTGCTTTACAGGGGAAGCAGCTTATGAAACCCTTCCCCGATTTCAGAATGAGCAAAAGTCCTCTCCTTTTCTCAACATTTGCTTCAGAGGCTCCCTAGCCAGTTGCAAGGGTATAATCCTTCACTGTCAAGCACTTGCTGCACAGCTCCCCTCCTCTGGCGCCTGTCTGATGCCTTGTGTGCTGCACAAGTGCAAATGTCCTGTCCCACCCTCAGAGCAAGAGAAAATGTTCCTTTCTGTTACTTAAGCCAACTGCACTGTCAGAAGATTCCCACGCATCCCCCACCCCCTGCAGGCTGGTTTCCGTATTCGTTTCTTTGTGCTCCTCACAGCTGGTCCCGGCAAGCATCCCTGCCCATCTCTTACATCCCGGCAAGCATCCCTGCCCATCTCTTACATCCCGGCAAGCATCCTTTACCATCTCTTAGAGCCGGTAGTTTCTGCGGGCAGAACTGGAACAGTGGACACGCAAATGCAGCTGCCAAGAGAGGGCGTTGAGGCACTGTCAGTGGCGAAGCTGTTTGGGGGCCAGCCTGAGGTGCTCTATGTGCAGCCCTACAAGAGAAGGCACCGCTGCCGGCTGTGCCAGCACGTGTGGCAGCTGGGTTTGCCTGCGATTCATGCTCTGTAGATATCACAGAAAGAGTCGGCGCTTTTATGAAGGGATCAGCAGTGCTTTACAATGGAGATGGCCACACAGAGTGGTCTGCTGCAACATCCCACAGGTTGCTGGTGGCAGAGCAGGAAGGGTGGTTATCCATCCCTAATCCCTGCTCCCCACTGGCTTTCTAACCCTTGCAGGGAGAGTGCAGGAGTAGCTGTCCGTAGGGGCAGCAGATCCAGTACGTAGATTGATGATGATAGGGCAGAGTTCTCCTTGCCCTTCTGTCCTCCAGCCTCAGAGACAGGGGATGTCCATGTCCTAATCTTCCCTCTGGCCATGGGATTGAATGCCCAAACCAGCTCCTCACCTGTAGAAGTGAGTCTCACATGAGCTCCAGCTGCACCTTCAAGGGTGGGGACAGGGGCTGTCACCAGCCAATGCGCCCATCCTCCTCCTAGTTTGTGTCAGCCACTCTGATGCTGCTCCATAGCAGTGCAAAACCAGCCAACTGTTCTTTAAGTGGCTGTCTGCACCACTGAGATGAGCAGCAATATTTATGGAAATGTATATATTGTTCAAGGTGAAGCTAGGATCAGTGTGTATCTTGGAGAAGAATCTCAGCCAGAGCATGAAAACCATTTCGTGTTGATTTCTGAAATCTTTAACTGTCTTGAGAGGTATTGTATTTGAAAGTGAACCTTCGAAAGTAGAAAGGGAGAAAACAGGGGAAGTTTAGGTTGGATATAAGAAGGAAATTCTTTCCTGTTAGGGTGGTGAGGCACTGGAATGAGTTGCCCAGGGAGGCTGTGAATGCTCCATCCCTGGCAGTGTTCAAGACCAGGCTGGACGAGGCCTTGGGTGATATGATTTAGCATAAGGTGTCCCTGCCCACGGCAGGGGGGCTGGAACTTGATGATCTTAAGGTCCTTTCCAACCCTAACAATTCTATGATTCTAAAATAAGGGCCAGGGTTTTCAACACCAACTCATTCTACATTCCCCAGACAGCCACTGAGCTGTGGGGCTCTCTCAATAGACCACAATAGGCAGTCCTACAGCAGTATCATTTCAAATCCCAGAGTGAGGAGTTTGTGTTGGGAAAATTATTTTGAGCTCATTTTTTGGATATAAGAACATACTGGCTTGTAAATGGGTTTTGACTTGTGGCATATATCCACAGTGGTGTGATGTCCCCTGTGTTGGAGTGACAGCATCTGAACATACATTTGCCTGGTGAAAATTTACTGCTTTGATTTTTTTTTGGCTTGAGCTTCACATTTTGGAGGCTGTGGGTGCCTGTGGGACAGAGGGAGAGAAATGTAAGCTAGATCAATGCAATAAGGAAGGAGT